TCACCTCTGTCTACCTAGCCCCATCCTTCCAAACCCTTCAGCCACTGAACAATATAGCTTCTCTGCAATGTTCATATTTTTTTAACATGAAGAATGAGTACAGCTATTGTACAAAATATGTATATTTAGTGCAAAAGATGACCACCATCCAAAAACAAGATTACATTTAATAGTTAAAATACTTCAAATACTACAAACATCTACAAAACATATTACCACTTCAGTGATGCCCATGTGTAGTATGTAGTACTATGGCCATAAAAACAGTAACACAGCACAATAAAATATCTGTTGTGCAGCAGTAACCTTCTTTGGCATAATGAACTGTATAATTAAGAGAGTAAAATACATTGGTTATAACAAATTAGTTGCAACAAATTGGCTGCCTCAAGCTGACCATTAGATATTTAATGTAACACACTTAATGTAAAGAGAACTAGTGTATTTTTAGAATTGTTATATCTTGAAGTGAAAGTGATCAACTTCTTGAAAATAACCTTATCAATGTATTTGAATGTTTTAACAACACTGTTACAAATTTTTTTGTTATATGTATAGTGGTGACCATATTTACTAATTATACATTCAGGTGCTGCTTCCTGGCTTTGCCTTATTAATCCTTTTTTCTCACTGCAAGTCCACCAGCAAGCCTTTCTCTTTTTGGAAACAAAAGATTTGTTTTGTATTTTGTAATGATAATAAAACCCCATAATGCTCCTGAGAGCTTGATATCATATGATCATTTTGCCAGGACTCAAATCACTCAAGGAAGCAACAGATTTGAGTATTTTTATTTATAGCTAGAGTTACTTTTTTGTTTATGGTAATGTTGTGATTTTGTAATATTGGCATGTAGTGTATTGACAATGGTAGATTTTCCAAAAAGGCACAGAAGGCTTGTGCCTACAGGAACCTGTTCTGTAGAGATGCCTGTGCTTCTCACATCCATCTACTTTTTTTTCATGCCCTAGTAACAGAAATATCCATGTTTGCTAGTTATTGGCATATTATGTGACGAGTCACATCAAAGCTGCCGTGGAATCTAACAGATGCCTCCATCAATGCTAAACAACATTACAATAGACTTTTATTATATCTATGCAGCATTGCAGAAAACAGCAGGACTCTTTTGGTGCTTTCACAGTGTGCTGCTAATATAGATTCCAAGTATTATAACTTGCATTATAAGTAAAAAAAACTTTAACAACTGCATTTTTAACTCATTAGGACTAAAAATACCCACAGACATCAAAAGACCGTCACCAATTTTTAGACAGATTGCATGAATTTTTATGCATTGTGTATGAAGTGTCTAACTAGAAAAATAGCCTGTCTATTCTTGCTGTTAACCAACTTGTCTCTCCTTTTCCCTTTGCCTGGGCTAATTAAAACCTTTAAGATAGGCATTAATTGGTTGCCAAGAAAGATTGACAGTTTTTTGTTCAGTCATACCCTTTGTGTAAGGGGCCTCTCATGCTTCTACTTCAGGCCCGGTTCACACCTGGGCGTTTTGTAGCGCGTTCCTACGCTCTGCAAAACGCTCAAACACCGAAATCCCATTATTTCCTATGGGTATGGTTTCACACCTGGGCGTATTACAGGCTGTATGAACGCGCTACAAAACGCCCTATGCCCAAAGAAGTACAGGAGCTTCTTTGGGGCGTTTTTGTCGTGCGTATCCATTGGGATACAGCCAGGTAGCCCTCGGAAACGCGCGTTTGTTGCACTTTTTTTAACGCGAAACGTGGTAAAAACGCGCAACACGAAACGCGCGACAAACGCCCATATTCGAACCCAGCCTCATAATTCTTGCCTCACGGTTGGAGATAACAAACTATCAGACAGGTTAAGAAATGTGTCCTTTTTCAATAATGTTCCCCCTGTTAGGTCCCTTTCTCTTTATATAAAAATTTAGGGTCAGCAGACTTCTAAAGTTAGGTTATATTATGCCAGGGTTCCTGTGTATATGAGCTGTAAATCTGGCTCTGCTTATTGATTTATGTGAAGTATAAATCTAAGGTTAGTCCACTTTAGCTATACTTGTACATGCAGATGCCTTTCTGAACATGTTCCTATAGATATTGTTGATGTGTTGCAGTTTAGGTATTTGCCAGGTACATGTTTCAGTGATCTAGTGGCAATTGATACTCAGAGCTCCTACTGTAATGGTAATGCAGCCTGATTCTAGAGCTATATTATAGGTATATTTCCTTGTGTTTTTATTAGGCACCTGTAATTTGTATATTTTTCCACGCCCTGATTTTAGTGGGTTATGGTAGGCATGCTCAAAGAATACATTTCTCCACATCATGGACTTACTGGTTTTATGAGAAGACATCACATACTATTGGCAGAACCCTTGGTGTATATGGAGCACTAGTGATGGGCTCAAAGTTCAAGCTGAACGTGAGTTCGACTCGAACATCAGCAGGTTGTGTGTTCGGCGAACACACAAACTTTTAGGGCATTTGGTGAGCTGTTGGTCCACCAAGCGCTCAGCACAAGGCACTGTGGCTTGTGAGCCCTGATCAGATAAAGCCCTGATCAGATAAAGCCTTGCAAATCATGACCACAGGTCAGGTGCAAGACTTTGCCCAACCAGGGCACAGATAACTGTGAGAGCCATAATTGGGCAAAGTCTGCCAATGACTTTGTCCAATCATGGCTGACCTGTTACAACTATAAACAGTTGGGCCGAGCAATCTGTCACTTCTAGCTCTGCCCAATTGTTTATAACTAGCCAGCATCTGTCAAAATGCCATTCTACGGCGGGCGTTCATCGCAGCAACAGGACGGAGGTCGTAATTTTTTTATTATTATTTCTATGTATTTTTTATTATTTTATTCTTTATTTTGTTGAGTTGTCGTCATCGTGGACAATGCTGGACGATGTATTGCGTTGGTGGTACCCCTTACTCATTCACAAAGGGAGGGCACATATGGGTGCCCCTTTATTAAAGGGGTACCCTTATTTGAATAAGCTCCCTGCCTGCACCCCCACAACCAACGCCCCAGGGCTTGTGGGGAAGAGGCCCATGTCCCTATTGACACGGGGACAAGGTGCTTTTCCAGGGGCCACCCTGGAAAAGCACCTTCCCAGTGTCAAGGGTATGTGGCCTGGTATCGCAGGGAGGGGGGGCATTTGCTCCCTACCCCCTTTTCTGCCCTGCCAGGGGTGTGCTCAGATCAAGGGTCTGGTTGGGAATTTTAGAGGGACCCACGTTTTTTTCCCCATTTTTGGGGGAGGGGTTCCTCAAAATTCCTACCAGACGTTAAGGGCCTGGTATTACTTTAAGGGGGAACCCCACACACTTTTTTATTTGTTTTTCTTACATGGGGTCCCTCCTAAAATTCCTACCAGACCTTAAAGGCCTGGTATGACTTTTGGGGGAAACACCACACTTTTTTTAATGGAGTCCCTCCTAACATTGCTACTAGACCTAAAGTTTCTGGTACTGTTTGCGAGGGGGAACCGCACGATTTAAAAAAAAAGTCATTTATTTTCTTTAGAAATGTCAGTTTTGCTGCAGCAGGTTCTATACATTTGATGCACCACTTTACAGGCAGTTCAAGGGGACCTCCCGGGCATTATATTTAAAGGAATTTTTCATTTTTATTGTTACCCTTTAAGTGATGTTAAAATTACTGCTCCTTTAAAAACTGTATTTTTTAAAAGTTTTTTTTTCATTGATTCTTGTCACCCAGGGCAGTACCCGAATCCCCATACACTTTTTATGGTCAGTAAATTGCATATAAGGTTTCAAAATTGGGACATTTAATTTTCAAAGTTCTACCCTCATAGACTTGCATTGAGTTTGAGTTCTAATTCAAAATGTTCCCATGTTTGAAAGTTCGAATTCGAATCGAACACTGGGGTGTTTGGCCCATCACTATGGAGCACTGTGCAACCCACCACCCCTCCCACCTCAATTCCAAATTAATACTCTGTACAAGTCTTTTAACTAAACTCTGTACAGTGCATAAAGCGATGTGGCTGGAGCAGAGGGGGATGCTTCAGATTTCTGCTTCAGGGTCCAAAAGCTTTTAGATTTAAAGCTGGTTGCAATCATAGGACAAGGATGGTGTACACAAATGTTTTACTTCTTGTATGTTGTCTTCAACATGATTGGATGCAAGCAAAAACATGTATTTTAGTTCCACTTTTCATTGACTAAAGACAATATGACACTTCAGGGTTAGTACCTTCTTTCATCCCAGAGAACTGTGCTACATGTGTACACTGTCCCTTCAGGATGGTTTAATGTTTAATTAAACATCCTCATCTATTTTTTGCATAATATATTCCAATTCAGCATAATATTTTATAATGGCATTTATATTTAATACCATAGTTAAGCATACTTTATTCTAGCCTCAGTTTTTATAGATTGTTCAGTATTTAACATGCCTAAGAATCATGTGGTAAAATCTGCATTGTTACCTAATGAGACTTTTAGCCACTTTTTTCCATACCAATGAAAACATTTTAAAGCCATTTTTCAAGTACCCAGTTGTATCATATACCGAGGAGTTGTAATTCCTGTGTATCATAAACAATTGCCATGTTTGTTTGTTAATACAATTCTCTTTTTACCTTTTTCATCCATTGTTGCATCTCTATCTTCCTGATCTCCTGCATCCACTCCATGACTACGTACACGTACTTCAGCAACTGCTGCATGTCATCTCCCAGGGCAGGTTTCTGGATGGTGACAACAGTGGGCCACTAGTGGTGCCTGTACAACAACCATCATAGCAAGATCACCAGAAACTATTGTAATAAAAGCTGCAGATTAAAAATAATTACTTTGGAAATTGAATTAAGATGCTAAAGTTTATACAAGATTTTCATCATTAGGTTTACACATACTTTAATTATTCACTTATTGCTTCTTGCACATGGAATTGATGGGATTTTTAAAATGATCATATAAATAAAAAAGGAAAACCTAGGGCATGTAATTTGGTTATATTTTTAGCAAATGTTTTTTTTTCCTCAGGAACTGGATTATGAAACGAAGACCAGCTACACACTGAGGATAGAAGCAGCAAACAAACATGTAGACAATCGATTTCTTAGTGCTGGTCCATTCATGGATACAACAACAGTGAAAATTACAGTGGAAGATGTGGATGAACCTCCTGTGTTTTCTCAAGCCTTTTACACAATGGTGGAATCTGAATCCGCAAAGATAGGAAATAGCATTGGAACTGTAATGGCACATGACCCAGATTCCACAAACAGTCTTGTGAGGTATTAATTTTCATTTTGTCTGCTATAGAACTACCAAGAAACATTTTCAGTTGTAATGTAGTTCTAATTATGGAAAAAAAGAACAATACAAAGTATATAAAGTGTAAAGACTTCATAAAGTATCCTAAAATGTACTGTACCGAATTGTGTCTAATACAGCTGTATGCATACACTGCATGTATTGTTCTTTAAAGACCACCTCTGTACAATTTAGTGAGAGTTGAATAGTAAAACTTGCAAACTAAATTGGGGCAGATAAAAGGGAAGCTAAAAGGCACTATATTATGTATTGCAGAATGTTCTCTTTGTTATATACACTTTAAATGCAGTTAAATAAATTACTGTTAGTTACAGCATTTTACACTTACTGAATTACTCCTTGGAGTGTTTGCTGGAAGTCCACCCATGTCTTTTACATGACACTGAACAAACTGGTGTGACATTTTCCAACAGTTGAATCACACATTTTTATTAAGCATTAGTGTAAAAGTATATTTGAACCCACAATTCATGGACTCACAATATATCCAGTGAAACCTCCTAAGCAAGAGATTATATGGGAATATAAAAAATGTGAGGCTTAATAAATCTCATCAGTGACATAATTAAAAAACAAAATTCCACACTTTATTTTATGCATTTAAAAAAGCATTCATATAGATAACATCTAATAAAATATCTAAATATCACCTTGCTCTCGAATCACATGATATATCATAATATAGCTTTAAAAAAAAAAATTCTAGACCATGCAGTTATGCCAACTTCATTGACATTAAACCTATATTGTCATATAGTTCTATTTCATTATCCCATCACAAACTAACAGCACACAATGCCCATAGAAATTATATTGTTTGCAATATTGGCAGAACTAGCCACTTGCATCATTCCATTGACATATCTTATGGAAATGATGCCATCACAAAATATCTATATTGCTGAATAAAAAGGTTGTAGAGAGGGTTCTTTGCACCCATAGATTAGTTCATATAGTATTGATAATTTGGACTGTACTATTAAAAATCCAGTATCTACAGTATCATTATTATTATTATTATTAGTAGTAGTAGTATACGGGATTTATATAGTGCCAACAGTTTGCACAGTGCTTTACAATATAAGGAAGACATTACAATACAATTCAAGACAAGATGGTAAGGAGGGCCCTGCCTGTGAGGGCTTACAATCTAAAAGGGAGTGGCCAGTGATACATGAGGAGGTAGCAGTTTGGGGATGAATTGTTTGAGAATTTGATGGTTCAGTGGTCAGGTTGTGGTGGGATAGGCTTCCCTGAAGAGATGAGTCTCTAGGGATCGCCTACAGGCAGTCAAGGTGGGAGATAGATGGACAGGTCGGGGTAAAGAGTTCCAGAGAATGGGAGAGATTCTAGAGAAGTCCTGGAGGCGAGCATGGGAGGAGTTGACAAGAGAGCTGGATGCAGGAGGTCTTGGGAGGAGAGGAGAGGACAGTTAGGGTAATATTTTGAGACAATGTTTGAGATATATCAGGGGGAGAAGGGGAAGGGGGTTGCAGACACTGAGAGGTTGGTCAGGTGGATGAGTCTAGCAGCTGCATTCATGATAGACTCAAGGTGGGTAGCCTGTGTAGTGGTAGGCCAATGAGGAGGACGTTGCAATAGTCAAGACGGGAGACAACAAGGGAGTGGATGAGTAATTTAGCAGTTTCATTCGTGAGGAAAGGGTGTATTTTGGAGATGTTACGAAGGTGAAAGTGGCAGGATTTGCATAGTGATTGGATGTGGGGAAGAAAGGTGAGGTCCGAGTTAAGGATGACACCTAGCACCTTGGCATGGGGGGAGGGATGGATGGTTGTGTTATCAATCTCAAGGGAAATGTTGGGGGAAGGTGCATGGGCCGGAGGAAATACCATGAGTATCACATATAAATCAAAACACTCTAGTCCATATGGTATATGTATAACTGTAACAAAGTTCTGCCACATCCAGTACACAGCAGGGATTAATCACAGGTAAAGCAAGATATTTCCATATGACTTGAGCCAGATAATGCAAACATAAACCCTTATTTTGTACATCATCTGCAAAGGGAGTGTAAGCCATTCACTTGACCCTCCAAGAATCTGTCCCTCATTAACAGCACAATTATATGAACACCTCAATATTGAAACTGATAACAGAAGGCATATCTCAAACACCACATACGTGGTTTCTGTGTCCCATCCATGATGCATACATGGCCTTAATTGTAGGGATCCAGTGAGGGGCTGTGGTGGCCGCTGTGTAGAGAAAACAGTTGGTAGATAGAGAGGGGCCAGCTACCCCCAAGCATCACTGATACATTTTGCCACAATGGGATCATCAGAGGAACATACTGTAGGGTGTAACACCATTGGTTAAAAACATCTGGGGGGTGGATTCTGTGTGTCACATGCTTACATTTCCTTCTTCCTTTTGCTCCATGAACCCATGCAAGCGCACCTCCCCGGAATGCAACGGTCGGCCACCACCGTGATCCCAAATGGGACCACAGGCACAGATCAGGAAAAAAGAAAAAGAGGTCCCAAAACATTCTAAACAGTATATACATTTGTTAACCACAACTATTAGTTATTTTGTAAACATATCTGTCAACTACATAAATATAAAGATCAATTACAAACTAAGTAAGCAGAAAGACCTCTCTATATTTTACAATCTAAATATACTATTGAGGAGAAAAAGTTTAATGTCAAAATCTGACAGCACATTCTAGGTAAACTATATTTCCATGAGCTATATTATGATATATCTTTTGACTCGAGAGCAAGCTGGTATTTGTATATTTTATTAGATGTTATCTTATTTAAAAATCTAATAAAATATGTATGAAATAAAGTGTAGAAAAACCTTTTTTAAATAATGTAATCAATGGGATTTATTAAGCCCTCCCTTTCTTATATTACCATAGATTCACATTTAATTTATCTTTTAGAGCTTAAGTAAAATAAAAATTTGGGACCTCAGGAGCTTTGAGCAATTGCGTGCTAGTATGCACAGCATATAGCTTATTATGGTAGACTTACCTACCAAAGTGATCCCCTCTAGTGCTAGAATGTCAACACTTCCTTCTGTTGCCAGTCTTCCACCATTTGATTGGGCCCAGATAATGTCATTCCTATTCTAGCTTTCTACAGGTACATAATTGTTCAAAAACTGTACACTGAGGTGAGCTTACATAGCTCAGTGTACTCTTACAAAACAGAATTGCTTACAGGAAGGGAGAAAAATCTATGACATATTTTTGCAACTTTACTTTCACTTTAAATCCTGCAGCTGTAAAGTGTGTTGCAGCAAGTATAGAGGTACTATGATAATAATTAATTTTATAAATGATCTTCAATCATTAAACAAATAATGCAAATTAAACCACTGCTATTAGCTGCAAACCTTACTATTACTGAAAAGTCTGTAACCCCAAAGCAACCAATCAAATGTAACATTTCTGTTTCTATGCTGACCCTGTGTAAATTAATCCATATATCTTGATTTAATTACGGGAAAATATTGCATTGTATCTAATATATTATCGAAAGATATGACATTCAGTCAATTGAAAAAGTGATAAAAACAGGAATGTAAAAAAAAAATCAGTCTTTTGCAGTCCGTTTAATTGTAGTTATTGCTCATGCTTTTACATTTAGGTCACAACCCAAGTTTCACATTAAAAACTTTAATTTTTGCCTCATTGATCATGTGCTCATGGAGAAAATTAAATTATTTCTCATTGTGGAACACTTGCATCTTCATACAAAATGGCAGACACATTGACATGTGAAATTGAGAAAGGCAGCAACTGTGTAAACCTTCCACACAGTGTGAAATCGCCATATATTATCTTTTGTTTTAAATATGTTACACAGCGCAAAACTTGACAGTATAATGAACAAAGCAATTAGTAGGGAAATTGAAGATGCAAAATATTCATTTGAGGTTGCTCTCCAGCTGTTTGCTTATTCTTTTCCTTCCCTGTGGATGGTGTGGACTGTATTTATAATCACATATGTTCATATGCAGCAGTTTGTGCAGCTGAAATGTAACTAACATGCATGAACAAGCACACTGTAGCATAATGTGACATTATGTTGCATCGTAGTCAAAATAATCCATATATGTAAAATGAAGAATTCAGAAACCTGCAATATAAAATAAAATACTGTATATCCTGCTTTAAATCTATTTAACCTTAGAGTAACCTTACTTCTATGTAAATTTCTGTTTATTTACATTTCTATTAAATTACATCTTCTGTATTACTGTATGTTGAAGAAGAGTTTTTAAAAGCAAGAATTATTGAAAAGTGTGCCCTAGGTGATGTCCAGGACTGTGTTTTTTTGTGTCTTTATATATGAGCTGATATCATGTGAATTTTAAACGGTTATTTTTAAGGGGAAATTATAATATGTTGGGTCCATTTAGATACAGTATATAATATACTTTGTAGTATCACAGTTCCAAAATATTATGGAGTCTAATTACAATAAAATAGCATAGGCATTCGCCCTCCATAGATTTGAATCTCTGAGAATATACATTCTGTATGAATAGAGGCAAACATGCAGGTTCTATTTAGTATATTTAACATGCAGAAAATGCCACATTATGACTGTTAGATGGAGCTGAGGATCATACCAGAGAAGTATTTATTTTATATGCTGCTCAGCTCCATCTAGTGGCCATAAGGTGGTATTTTCTGATTGTTACATTTGACCTAAAAAGAAAATATACATAAAACATTTGCTTTTGCCTGTATTCACACAGAACGAACATTCACGCAAAACAAACATTCACAGAGATTTGCAGGGTGAATAGATCTGTAAATTGTTTATAAATAGAACATGGGTTATATGGGTTAGCTAAAGACACAGCAAAGCAAATGGTGCTTGCTTTGAGGTCCAGTCTGTCTCACTGAAACTCTGTACTAAGTTGTCTCATAAGGAATAATTGACTACTGATACAACTTATTTTCGTTTATTTTCTTGTAATTGCAGCTTGAGCTATTCAGTTCTGCAAACATTGGGATTCTTATAGTGAAGCTGAGAGTGATACACAGCTAAATGGGAAAGAGAAGATAATTTTAGAGCCAGAAGGAGACACACAATATGCAATATCTCATACTCATCTGACTTAAAAAAATTGAGTCCCAAAACATAATAAATGCATAAAGAATATATGGACAAAACAACTATACATTTCCTTTAAGAAGTTGTTATCATGCCTTCAATGAACCTCAGATTTGATAACTTTACTAAAAACAGCTTAAATCAATGACACAAGGAATGACAGGTATGACAGATGTATGAACTTACAGATCTCGGCACATCCCAGAGATCAGTAAAATAACCTGAACTTCAACTCATCAGAGTAAACAATGTTTATTATTTAAGGTGTAATCTTTGAGAGAGAATTCAGAACCTAAAAATTCTGACTTGTAATCATAAAAGCAATTCACTGCTTCAGCTGTTCTCCACAGTGGCAAGGTATCTGAGGAAAGCTGAAGCTTACATTATACCCATCAATCATCAATCTTTTGAGTGAACAATTGCCAAGGAAGAAATACTCTAGGTAGCCACTTGTGAAGTAATCTGGGCTGTTACACAATATTTGCTTACTGAGATGTCTACACTATTTAATCTCCTGTATATAAACATAGAATACTTCTTCAAATATCTAAAGAAAACATTACATCTTTCTTTACAGATATTCAATTGACCGTAATACAGATTTGGAGAGATATTTCAACATTGATGCCAACAGTGGGGTTATTACAATAGCAAAACCTTTGGACAGAGAGACCAATGCTATTCATAACATCACCGTTCTAGCAATGGAGAGCCGTAAGTGAACATTTATAGCTTTATAGCAGAATTTAAGCCTTAGTTACAGTCTTGCACAGTTCTACAAGTTCTTTTCCTTTAGAGAAATTGTCCATCTCATTTTCTGGCTGTAGAATGTCCAGCATCATGCAGCCTTAATGTCCCTGGCCCGCTCTTTTCATTCATTGGATTTCATTTCTTTCAATCATGGAGGCTCACAATCAGGATTGTCTGCATACAAATGCAGCCTGCCCATGAACCCCCACTCCTTCAGACTGACATTCACTCAATAAGGCATTTTGATATTTGCATAACTGTTCCCAGGAGCTAACCCACTGCTTGCATTCGTGCTGAGTGCTCTTGAGAAGAATACTAAGGCAGTGTGTGGTGATGTTTTCAGTAAGTTATGAACAGCACCCTGCTGCTCCCTTCCCCAACCATGATCAGCCTGCATTTCAGAGACCTAGTGATGATGTCACTGGGTCTAAAGTAAAGTATGTAATGAAAACAGAAAGGTTTTATGTAAAAGTGTCATAAGCATGTTCATAAGCATGTTGATTTAAATACTCTACCAATTAGTTCACTTATTGATTTCTTGTTTTATATTGCTTTAGGAGACCCTGGTACCATACAGAAGTTAGGCATACATGTAAAAGAAGAAGGTATATATTCACCTTCCCTGCTGCCTGCACTTCCAAATGCCATTCAGATCCTGAGAAATCTTTTACTGAAGTCCGCAGACAAACCAACACTCTGGGAATGTCAATCTCTTGTGTGTCCTGCAGCTGTCACTGGCTCCTCCAGCTAACCTCCACATCATTGCAAAGTCCTATAATGATGTGGAGGTTTGCAGGAGAGAGTAGGAACTTAAAGTGATTTCAATTGATTTGGAATGCGCATAAAAACATTTTTTTTTCTAAAGGATGCATCCTTTTTGGACACTTTCATTCTGATCAGATGCCACACGTCTGTCTGCATAGTTGTGTTATTAGCATTTTTTTATTTTTTATATATAGATTTATTATTGCCTTTACCCTTTGGCTTAATGTGTTTGAGAAATAGGCAGTTTATAGGGATCTAGTAGTCACTATGTTTTTTTTTGTTTAATAAACTTAATCTTAGCGTTAGCAAGCCTAAACATGCACATATAATAGTAAAACAAATGTAACATTGCCCGTTATCAGTCTTGACTCACAGGTTTCAGCATAGCATGACTATTTTATGCAGTTCTTCAAAAACAGAAAATGACTAATAAGGAACAACATGCTTTCCTCTGGAAAGCCTCTCTGTGACCCATTTCACTTCAATTTCTCAGAACCAGGTTCAAGGGATAAAATGTGTAAATCCTATTTTCTCTATGACAGGTCTGCTGCAAGTTGTTCAAACAAACTGAGAGATTTGTCATACATCCACTGCCACTACTTAAAGTGTCTGATAGCCTGTTGTAAACAGAATGCATTCTTATTGATTTTACACATGATCAAATTTGAACTATATCGCGCTGGTTAGAATTTTGTTTCCGTTCTGTTATTCTCTTGCCTTTTTTTTTCCAACTACTTTCAATTGATTGCACATAACTATAGATATTGCAGTTTATTCTAAAAAAAATGTATCCTTCTTTTTCTGAATTTTAGTTGATGCCTAAATCTTTACCCATTTTTTCCTTGTGGCTAATTTGTTTTCATCCCAGCTGCATCACTGTCCTAAATGCACAGAGTGCAATTTACAGTGAACATAAAGACTGAAGATATCACAAAAATATATGAGACATACATTTATTTGGAAGTTAAAAGATGCAGTAAAGAGGCAAGATGGGATTACAGGAACTGTGTTTGTGGATACAGATGAGAGGGCTGGGCATGCAGGACAGAGCAGCAGCAGGAAGTAGGCAAATATAAAAAGAAATGAAAAAAGAACTTATGGCATGTTAATTACCATAATTTAAACTTTAGTGATACATGTAGCTAGCAACATATGAGTACATGTTTATTATAACGCTTCTAGTTACATATACAAATGCCTCAAGGAGAAATAATTTTAAATCCAAAATCTTCTAGGCAGAGATATTCTATCAGGACTATGGCAGAACTCTAGCCAAAAATAACATGATAAAAATAAGTAGCCCATTAAAAGATTAAATAAAAGGGCAGCATTTGCAGCAATATTAACCGTGAATCTGGAGCTGTCCCCTGCAGAATTTATTTTCTACCACTAACTGTCCTCATCCTGATGGTCAGCATCATTCAACCCACTTCCTCTTAGCCCATGCTGTCCTGGATCTACCACAGTCTGTGAATAGACAGTAAAAGGAAAAGCAGCACAATAATGAGCTCATCTTTCTGTTAATCTACTCATTGTAAATGCATTTTTACATTTTCATTTTGCTACAAAATGCAAGGAAATGTGGATCATATAAATGTGCCCTGATGATACAGTATGCAGTAATACTGTAGATTCCAGCATCTGATGGCAAAGCTTGTAAAATTTGTAATTGCAGCAGTTACTCTATACACTACAGCCAGAGTTGTTACTTGTAGGGATGGGGGTTTTGGTTTGCTCCTATCATGGGTTCGCAACAAATCCCTGAGATTCACAAAGTTCCTATATTAGAAACTTTTGATGGATAAGTATACAGGTTCACTGCAAAAAATAAAGAACAAAGCAGGGTAGAGCCTTTTCCATGGTCAGCTGTTTAGCAAGAGCCAATAATATAAAGGGATGGATAACCGAGCCCCTTTTCTATAAAATAGGGGCTGTTAGGAAGAAATAACAATGATGTGTAGGAAGAGATACTGTCTTTCTTTTCTTTTTTCCATGTCCCCCATTTCACTATCTGGCTTCCAATGCCTTTTATATGATGATCGCTTGTTAGCTTGCTTGTTAGCCTTATGGATGGAATGGATTGAATAGCAGGATTCACCCATAGACTTCAATGGGGTTTGCCACAAAGTTTGTGAACCTCAAGCAAGATTTGAACTGTTTGTGAATCGAACATATTTGTTGATGTCTAGTTAACAGCGAGGTAACAAGCAATGAATACAAACTTGCATGTTTGTGCACTGGTCAGATAGCTGAATCACTTCTGGATACTGTAGTTCTGTATACAGAAGATGAATAATGCTGGTTTTCTGTTGGTCAGAATTACTGTCCTGCCAATGCCAGGCATACCTTGTTTTAGTAGTGAGTATGTATTTCCTTGGTTATGTGTAATTTATTAATGAAAGCATTGCTAAGAAAAAGTTTATTTTTTTTTCTATGTGATATGAGTAAGATGTATTACCTTGAGAAAGGAAGTCGAGTATCTCATTTGATAAAGGCTCCATAAAATGATGTTGCAAAGTTTTCAAAAGCCAGTTATTTTGTTATTCATATTTTCCAGAAAATCCAACACAGATTGGAAAAGGCTACGTTGCTATTAGCATACTAGATATTAATGACAATGCTCCTGAATTTGCCATGGAATATGAGACAAATGTTTGTGAGAATGCTTCTCCAGGACAAGTGAGTATTTATAGAGTATTTTGTATTCCCATCATCATCATATTTAAACTTTCTAATCCTGTGTAGATATTTTGGAGTAGTATGACCCAGAAGAGACTTAGGGGTCTATTCACGAAGCAGCCGAAGGATCTAGCCTTAGCTTCGCCTGATCCTTCAGCTAACTTTGGCCCCATGACCACTTCGGTTCAGTAGAACCGAAGGGCTGCTGTACGAGCTATTCAGTATAGCCCTACAGCTCCCGAAGTTGGCTGGGCGGCTCAGTCGAGCCGAAGGCATATGCTTTGGCTCGACTGAGCCGGGGTGAAAGTCGAAGCTGGCCGAGCGGCCGGCCATTGGCCGGCCGACAGCCTGCTTCTGACAGCTGGGCGGAGCCAGCCGTGATCTTACGGCTGGCTCCGGCCACTTGCAGAGAGATCAGCGTCCCTGGTTACCAGCTAACCAGGGACACTGATCTCCAGACAGCCTAACTCTCCCGGGCGCTCCGGGAGTCTCCTGCTCACAGCCGCCCAGGAGAGAAACACTGCTTTTTCTTTTTATTCTGACACCGAGCCATTGGCTGGAGTCAGAATTTAAAAAAAATCACCATAGGAATGCATTGCTAGTTTACTATTGGCTATTGCAAATTGAAATAGCCAATAGGAATCTGGCAATGCATTCCTATGGCAAAATTCTTTTTTTCGTTTTTTTTTTGACGGCAGCAGAACCGCCGGCCAATAGAAAACAGTTGGGCGGAGTTAGCTGTCACTGTTAGCTTCGCACAATCGTTTTCTAGGGACCGAGCAGAACAGTCGAGCCGAATGCCGTTCGGCTATTTACTCACTGCTGTTCGGCATCTATAAGAATAGACCGAACAGCAGCGAGTAGCCTGCCGGAGGTTCGGCTTAGCCGATCCAGATGTTGGATCGGCTAACTCCTTCTGCACTTCGGGTCGGCCGAACATGCTCAGCATACAGCCACACAAAGCCAGCCAATGTACGGCTGATTTCAGCCGATATACGGCTGAAATCAGCCATACAAACCTGAAGTGAACCTGAAGTGAATAGCCAAACAGCGCTCACTTCAATTCAGGACAGTCTTTCACTCGGCTGACTACGGCAGCTTAGTGAATAGACCCCTTAGTTCCAGTTTCATCAAAAGAGTTGTCTAAATATTTATCAGACCCCAATCAAAATGTATTTTTATATTCTACCCTCTTAAAAAATATATTTTGTTAAGTTAGAGACACCAGTTATAAAAAGTATGCTGTCTACCAAGTTCAATAGCTTAAGCTGAAATTTGCACAAACAAGTTAGTGTCAGAATATTGTATCTAGGGGTCTCGAAAAGACAAAGATAACCTAAACGCTGGTAAATTTTGCTGCACTCTCTTTAGTGAACCCTATGGAAAACCCTTTATCATGTTTATTTGTTAAACAAATAATAAAACAGTTTAAATATAACAGATGAAAACTGATCAAACCATTACCTTGAACATACATGTGAACTTGTGGAGCAGTAGCATGTACTCCTCCAAAAGTGGCAGCAGCCAGGTATGGGTAATCGTGTTATGGTAGCACTACTGCTGTTATATGCCAGCTCCACGCTGACTTGTGCTCATCAACAAACCAGGGGATCTGTCATCAAAAGGCAGTAGCACTACTGCTGGCTTCTTTATAAACACATGGGGGTCTATTCACTAAGCTGCCACGTTTGGGAGCTGTACGGGCTATAGTGAATAGCCCGTACAGCAGCCCTTCGGTTCTACTGAACCGAAGGGGTCCTGGGGCCGAAGCTAGCCGAAGGATCGGCCGAAGCTACGGCTAGATCCTTCGGCAACTTCGTGAATAGACCCCGTGGTGATCCTGGGTGGTGTTTTTACACTCCAAAAGCACTGGGAAGCTGTAATTTAAGACTGGAGTAGTGGCAGGGTAGCATTGTTGAGACTGTGTTTTTATTAAATATGTGTTTTTACAATATGAATGGATTAATTTACTATGTACTTTTTTTGTGAATGAGTAACAAAGGATATTATTAACCCCTTACTCATTCATCTGGGGGTATTCCTTATCCCCTTTATTCTAAAGAAAACTTGGAATTTCCTTTAGCCTGGAATAACATTTTAAGAAACATTTGTTTTTTTGTGTAATATTACTATATTATACCCCATAATATCTTTAAACTAAATATCTAAAAACTAAATATCTTTGTTATTCATAGGTTATACAGGAAATAAGTGCGGTAGATAAAGATGAACCATCAAATGGCCATTGGTTTTATTTCAGTTTACCTCCTGATGCAAGTAACATTAATTTTACATTACAAGACAATAAAGGTAAGTGTAAGCATTTCTGTTGACCTGTTGTGAATGGGTAAGGTAGAGCAATTTCTGTATAATTAGAAGCATTATAGATGTTTGAGCTTGTGTGTGTACATACATGTTGTACATACACCCTTTCATGGAGATACGTTACGTTATATGGATAAAATAAGGTTAACTTTTAATCTTACAAAAAACAGCACTATAATGTTTGTGAAAATCTGAGATAATCATCCCTCAATACACTCCTCCAGGAGATCCTATCATCCATGTACCAATTTATCTTTGAAAGCAAAATTGACACACTTCAATGCTGCAGCTGCTGATGAAGTATGTCTCTACTAAGTTAGCCAGTAGGCAAATGATTTTTAAACAACTCAAAAGTAATCAATTATAAGCTAGTGGAACTTATAAGTGGTTGGCTGCAGCTAAAGCTTTAAGCTTTTCTTTGGAAAATAATTGATAAAACAGCACAGTAATGTATTAGTAATACAGTAATATTAATCAAATCAAATGAATTAACTTTATTTTCATTAAATAGAACTCCAGCAATTTTTTTTAATGCTTGCAGTGGGGCTACCCCCGCACTGCAAGGGTTAGCTCCTCATTTTTGTTCAGGTAAACTTATACTCACCCAAAGCTATGAGTCAGCATCTTCTTAGACCGGTCATTCCAACATCTCTCCCCCTCCTCTGTAGCGATCTAAGGCCCCATAAATCATCAACGTCTATACACTGTGTATAGACGTGAGGATGCTGATGAAGACTACAATGCTGCAGGGAGGGGGAGAGAGGCTGGAGGGAGCTCCATGACAGCTGGCTGGTTCGGAGATTTTGGTGAGTATATCTTTGTTGTTGAACACCTAGACACAAACAAGCACTTAACTGTTGCAATGCAGGGGTAGCCTTACTACAGGGGTTAATTAAAAAAATTATTGAGTTCTTCTTTAAAGATTACCTTTTAACAACATTTTTTTTTATGTTTGTCAGCTTTGTTTGGCTACATCTGATATGTAAGTCTCTCATATTTTTTATGCAATACATATCATTGCACGGTATTGTTGTTTATTTGGATATTGATGTGAGCCTATTGTTTGGAGGTGTAATGGAAGAAGAGCAATATCAGAACCTTCCATATCCTTAAATATGGTATACACTGAATTAATTTTGAACAAATGAAAATCGATTTTGGAACGTACGTTCGGTCGTGGGCAGAAATTATTAGCATAGGTGAGGAAATTATTATTATGTACAGGGATGAGGCTTAACATTGCCTTTCAAAAATAAATTAATATCTTCAGAAATTACATAAAAAGACCACCCCTAATGTCTATCTGCTCCTTTGCAGCATATTGCTTCCTTCAAAAATAAAGGTGCACTTTACATAAAGCCCTGAAAGTAGCAGCCGCTTAAAGTGGCAGTTGATGAGAGCTTCCTATATACATTGCATTCTTTCTTTAGAATGATTTAGACAGTCAGGTTTTACATGGACATTGTTTGTGTTTTTATTCCTGCGCTAAATGAGTGATAATACGTGTACATAATTTAATAAACTATATAATATTAAATGGTGAATTATTAAATAATGTGAAAGCTGCTGCAATAAAGACAACTGGGTCCAATCAAATGTATTTACAAATATGCAGCACCAATCTTGTGAATGTGCCTAACTAAGTGATGACTAGATGTCGTGTACACCTCTATTGGTCCATCAACCTATATTCCAACCGTGATGAGTGAAAAAATTGTGATATATATATATATAAATAAACAAATAAGCAATCACTACGTATAGGTCACTATATACCTTCAAAATTATCTAGTGTCCAAAATATATATACATTGTGTAATAATTTCCAAAAGGGCTTTATTTTAAATCCAGTAAAAAAAGTATAACAAAGTCTTTGCTGGCCGATTAAGTGGTAAAACAACGAACTCATGTGTTTGGTATGGTGGATTAGGCGTGGATTATTACACAATGAAGAGTTTTTTCTTTGTGTGAGTATGGAGACACACCGCTCGCTGGACACCAATTGGAAAAAAGACACAGTGAGGACCCCGTGAGTCACCATACAAGTGCTTTCGGCTGCTTAGTACAGCCATCACATCACGGTGAGTGCACACTTTGAGGGGAGACGTACAGCACTTGCCTAAATCCCCAGCAAGTTTCACAGGACTTCTCACATCAACGCACAGATTGTGATAAACTTTTTGCACCAGGAATCCTATATGATCATATGGACTATTCACGGTGTTTCAACACTAATATTAATATTTAAAGGGATACTGTGGGGTTCACTATCCAGGGTTATTGTATAACCGTACCACAGATACACAGGTGTATATAGTATTATGAGTATACAACTCAGTCACTGAGTTATACACTGATTTTTTGCTTTATATGTTTGGTGGATTTATTTTGTACACTAGATAATTTTGAAGGTATATAGTGACCTATACATATTGATTGCTTATTTATTTATTTATATATATATATCACAATTTTTTCACTCATCATGGTTGGAATATAGGTTGATGGACCAATAGAGGTGTACACGACATCTAGTCATCACTTAGTTAGGCACATTCACAAGATTGGCGCTGCATATTTGTAAATACATTTACATGGACAGTACTGCAAGAGAGGGTATTTGTTGTATTCTGTGAAACAAACATTTAATGCTGAACCTTATGCACATATTCTTACAATCAAAAAGGGCCCTATAAAATTGAAGATTTAATTTGTGTGAGAATACAGCATTCAACTTCAAAGCTAGAGGTTATTGGTGCAGTCATTTGTTTAATATATATGTAAGCATCTCACGTAAAGGTATCAATATTAAGAAAGCCTTTGAGAAGTATTCATTAATAGGTGCATATGTAATCATGATTTATGCTATTTGGCATTGCTCCGGAAGAAACTTCATTATAGTGACACACAAGGACACACTTTGGGCTCAGTTGTATGGAAAACTTTTCGAAACACAAAATAACTATGACAGGCTAGAATTATTCAATCAAAAAGTACAATACTTTTTTTTTTAGTGTTCTTTATGCTGCTTTGCTAACCTTTCCAGCTCAGTATTTTTTCCCTCTACAAACAGCGGCTTGCTCGGCCATATAATAAAGAAATGTCATGGTAACTGTTTTCAGTGCAACCACAGATCAACTGTAGTATATTACATCTTCAAGGACATCATTTTGAAAAAAAGTCATCACTCTTTCATGCCTGTCAGTGCAATTTATTTTTCTTATTCTTCAGCACAGCATATTATTATTTGTGTGCTTGTTGTCTTCTTAAGCATATAAATAATGTTTGAGTATTTGTGGCTATATTATTACATTCTTTTATTGCATGTGTAGATACATTCAGTATGTAATTTAATGAGTTGTTCAACAACTAAAGAAACAGTTTTTTTGTAGCAAAAGCACAACATTTACATATATATCAAAATTTGAGTTGCAGTTTTCATAAGACATGAGTACATATTTCTTTTTCTTGTACTGTATATGGTTTGATTAATTCTGGCATTGCCAAAGGGTAATACATTGCTGACAAAAAGTGAGAAATCAAAAGTAATGCTAAATTGCCTGTCCCTCCTCACTATAACTGTTGATTGAATATCAGCAGAGTGACATTTGCTTGACTTTGTATCATGTCTAGATTTTGACAGCAACTCTAATGCCTTAAAAATGATATGGTATATATATATAGATATATATATATATACACACACACACCCACATTGATTGATATATATATATATATATATATACCATGTTTATAAACATTGTTTAGATACTAATTTACCCTAATATTACATACAGCATGTTAAGACTCCTTTGAGTATCAAGATGTTATAATAGCGATCTGATTTTTTTTTAAATGCATAGGGCATGGATACATTTGCAGCGTTTTGATAAAGTATTCAGGCAGTGTCCCAATGCATTTAAAGATATCATCAGTAGAGACTAAAAATATACTGTACGACATGTCTACTCCTTTCCACAATTCACTTGGGCATGTTTGACCTCACCAATCTGCTTATAGTTTTCTCAATCGTTTTAATTTTTTTTAACCCTTCAAAGTGCAACAACAGAAAGGCATTATCAAGGTGTCCTCATTGCATTTCTCTTACCTCTTGTTCTGGTACCAACTGTAAACTTTTTGATTTGCTATCACTTTCTATTCTGTTAACACAAGGACAAATAGAGAGGATGAATCTGCCTTATTTTCCAAAATGAAGAAAACGTTTTGGCTATACTTAAGCTCTTCATACATGGCTCGAATTGTGGCTGATTTCTGCTGAATTGGTGAACATTTGAGCAGTGGGTGACCCTGAAAATACAACCCAGCTCGACAAAAGTCAATTTACAAACCAAGCTGGGTGGAAAGTTGCCAGTGGAAACAGCACCTGTCAGGTGCAGTCACTGTTCAGGTATTCATGCAGCTGTGTTTGTTATGACTGCCTGAAAACAATAGCTGGCAGCATAGATTTCTGTATTTACACTGCTTAGCATGGCTGGGGCAATCAACTGATTTTCTGTGTATGGCTAGCTTTACCCCTTAATTGGGTAGAAGGGTGATGTTAAGTGTATAGCTAGCTTTACCCTTTATTTAGGTAGTAGGGTGATGATGATATATCTAAAAGGGAAAGAGTTTCATGCCCCAACAAATAAATATCCATTTATTGGCATGTTATTTAAAACACTTTAGTTTTTAGATATATTTTTTATATTTTTATATATATATACAGTAAATTATAGAACTCACAAGAAAAAGTGAAATATAACTATATAATAAACATAGATCTGAAAACTATTTATTTTGCTATATAGCATGCACATTTTTCCTACCATAGTCATTCATATGTGTGCATATACTAGAGATCCTTTTTGGTGGAGGCATATTATCATACCTGGTTGATTTTTCAATGTGGATAGAAATGGGGCCATGTTAAAGGAACACATTCAAGCTTATGGGGTAGGTGCATGCAGGCTCAAAGCAGACAACAAAATATTGCATATTAATTTTTTTAAATTACATAACAATGTTGTTATCGCTGTTAGCTAGCCCATATATGGTCTGCATTTCCCACAAGTGTAGCCTGCTTTTAGACTAGACTGAGACTGCATAGACAGAGCTTGGGTTTATCTTCAGTATTAGTACTAGGAATATTCTTTTTTGCAATGCTCTCTATTAGATTAAAACCTACTGAGGAAAATGACAGCTGTAATCTGAAAGTTTGATGCTAATATGTGGCTCTAAGATGATTCAAACAAGCCATTGTATTGATGCTGTGAAATACAGGACCCATATATATATATGTGGCCAGGGCTTACAGGTAGGTGTTGCTATCATCACCTATCACAGAAACAGCAGAGCAGACTGTCTGGGCTGTCCTTTGAGTTTGTCACTGAGATATCAGAAGTTAATTGAGTGCCCCAGACTGAAGAATTACTAGACAGCCCCATCGATTAAAACAATAGTGGTAAGATGATCTCATTATCAAACTTGAAGATTATTTTATAAATTCATCCCAGAAGACCATGTGAAGCAGCAGATGCCACCAAAAGTCTATGCATTCCAGTAGTTTTAAGTTTTAGTGCAGATCCTGTAGCTCACGGGTTTTCCTTGTATATCTCCAGTGGTTGCTGGTTCATTAAATAATCAAGGCCTGAATAGTGCAAATAACTAATCAATTCATAATGTACTAAAGAAACTTGCACTGACAGAAAGATGCACTGACAACCTACATACCGTATATACTCGAGTATAAGCCGTCCCGAATATAAGCCGAGGTACCTAATTTTACAAAAAAAAAATGGGAAAAAGTATTGACCCGAATATAAGCCGAGGGTGGGAAATGAGGCAGCTAATGGTAGATAGATACCAATAAAATTACATTAATATTTATTTAAAAGAAAAATAACCTAGCTCTGCAAGTGGAAAAGGGGGTACAGGGCTACATATCATGTACTACGGATCATTTAACCCATTCATATTAGCAGAGGATAATAACTATAGTTTGTTTTTAAATGCTAAATATAATTTATTTTCCAGATATTACAAATGCAATATTAATAAAAAATCTATTTTCTACAGATAATACAGCTTCAGTCATAACAAAAAGAAATGGATTCCGGAGGCAAGAACAGCCTGTATTTTATTTACCAGTTGTCATAGTGGACAGTGGATCTCCGTCACTTAGCAGCACCAATACACTTACTATACAAGTCTGTGACTGTGATGTTGATGGAATAGCACAAACCTGCAATGCTGAAGCATATACTTTACCTGCTGGTTTGAGCACTGGAGCTCTGATTGCAATACTAGCCTGTGTTCTTACACTCCTAGGTAAGATAATTCATTTAAATCCATTACAATTAACAACAAACATATTATTAGTCAAGCTATTAGTTGTCCGAACCTAAATGGATTAATACAATAATATTATTTATGGGTGATCTGGAGGTTTAGGCTTGGGCATCAAATGTTGGGATCTTAAAAATTGTTACAGACTTAAGATAGCTCAGGTCTGACCTTAAAACACAGTGATGCTGATTTACTAAAGGAGTTGAAAATGAATAATTACTTAAATAATCCAGTCCTGTGCTAAGCAAATTCATGTTTACTTATTTCATCTGCACATGACTGGACAATTTATTGTACAAAATTCTTGACCTTCTTAGTAAATCAGTTCAATTTCATCATCTTTAGCATCAATTTGTATGATAAAAATGTTTCTAATAGCCTATCAAAGCAATCTGTTATCAAGTACAGAATATGAACTCTAGATCTAGAGGTCTGAAAACTGGGGGTAGATAAATGTAATTAGGTAACTTGTGCTTACATCCATTACCCTGATCTTCATGCATAGAATTCAGGAGCTGGCATCGTCTGCTCCAACCAGGCACCAGTTATTAATGGATGTTAGCCCCATACAGTAAAAGTGTATGGAGAGTCTGCCAAAAACTGACTGGCTTTGGAATGCTACACTTATAGATCTCTCAAGTAAGGAAATTGAAACATTTTTTTTAAATGTTAGCATGACTCCAGTAAAATAAATATATAAAACAATATTTTGAATATTAAAACAAATGGACCAAAAATTATGGGACAATCACTGCAGAAAAAGGCAATTTCTGTAGGTGTCAATGATACGTCTGCATTTGCTAAAAGTTAAATTGAACTACTCTTCTCAAGTAAACTGCTCCAGTTGTCCCAGGTTTAAAGGGCTCATGACCTGTGATTGAGACAGAGCTTTCTGACACTGGCCAGTACTTTTTGCTCCAAAATTCCTACAGTCTTGAGATTTCATTGTGCCCTGCAGATTTATGGTATCCCATGTCAGTTGCAGCAAAAGTAGCTCCAAAACATAGGCCACTGTGTTCTTTTCTTTGAAATATTTATTTTATCATCTCTTAACATTGAGCTGATGTGACTTGCCAAAAATCTCCAATTTCCAAAGGGCATTCTCCTAGAAGCTTTGTGGCTTGTAAATATGTATTTGAGTAAAATCCAGTCTGGGTTTTTTTTCTTTTAACAGTGGAGTCCTCTTTTGAGCCCACTGTCACTCAGAAGTGTCAGATGTGTGATCAGACACTGTTGTGCCTTGACCTTCATGTTCAGCTTTCCAAGTTTTTACCAAGCTCTTTACCAATTGCACTATCCTTCTGTTCAGACTGGAGTAAATGTTTCTCCTGCAACCATGTCCAGGGAGGTTAGCTATACTTCCATGGACCTTAAACCTCTTAATACTATTTCAATCTGCAGTCACAGGAACATCAAGCTGCTTGGAGATTGTATTATAGCCTTTACTTTTGACACGCTGGTCTGTAATTTTCTTTCAGATCTCCTCAGACAACTCTCCGTTGCTTACTCTGGTCTATGCTCAGTGTGGTGCACACAATGATACCAAACTACTACTACTTTTCTCTATTTAAATTGACTGACAAGAATTATACTGCTGCAAAATACATTTTATCGAGAAAAATATATATCAAAGCGCTAAAAGTATAACTAATATGAAACATAGTACGACCAAGTGATATAGTGAAATTAGGGTTTAGGCGGTCTAGCCCTAAACCAAGTGATATATCTTACATAGCATCATAAAAGAAAAAATAAAATTAATAATTCAATTGTGCTGAGCCAATTTCTTTTGCACATGTTTTTTACGTTTATTTTCTGCGGAACATTTTATTTCAACTTTTTTATATTTTTTTTGCGTGGATCATTTATATATTGTTATATATTCGATGTCTTTACACAGTGGTTGAAATTTTTTTATTGTCCCAATCATTATCTGTTTTTCCACAGCACAATTGAATTATTAATTTAATTTTTTCTTTTATGATCCTATGTAAGATATATCACTTGGTTTAGGGCTAGACCGCCTAAACCCTAATTTCACTATATCACTTGGTCGTACTAAGTTTCATATTAGTTATACCTTTAGCGCTTTGATATATATTTTTCTCGATTGCTGATAGGATTCTTCCATCCTCTTTTTAGAGCTGCTTTAGGTCTTAATTTACAATATATATTTCCACTTTAGTCTCTTTTCCAGAAGCGCGGATTATCTATTTCTCAAAATAAATTTTATGTTTTCCCCAAACCAATAAATACTTGTTTATTTTTTATTTTTGTAAACAATATATCTTTATTGAATTTTGTAGTAGTTCGAACAACAAAGTAGCCAGTGTGCTTTTAAATCCTATTATTTATTCTCTGTCCTTCTATGTAAAAAAGGATAATATCAAAATCTCATGTGCTGGTAGGCAGTGTCCACTATCAAGGGCAGCTAAAACAAAAAAAGTAGCAGTGATTTGAGATAGGAGATGCTTGTAAAAAGCAAGCCACAGACAATGAGTACATTAGTATCAAGTTCACAGGTGTTTTGTCTGTGAACTTAGTTATTGACAGTGCCAAAAGTCTCTTTGTTCTGGTAATTGGCTTAGATGCCAAGGTTAATGTACACTAACAATAGTAATTTTGCACATCTTGTGTAGAGATTTATTTTGTAAGACATGTCATGAAAACAAAAAAGATGTGATAGAGACTTGTCTGTTGCCAAGAAAGCAATCAGAGTTGAAGTTGTGTATGGCATAGCAGAACCAATTATATGTTTAAATGCAGGCCCGGATTCCCCACAAGGCCACCGATGCCCGGCCTCGGGGCGGCAGGGTGCAGAGGGGCGGCAGCGGTGTCCTTGTAGGGAAGTTGCCCTCTCTACATTCAGTCCTGCTTTGTACAAGCAGGACTGAATGTAGAGAGAGTCAGCTGATTTTTCGTTTACATGTGAACTCGGCGATGTCGCCAAGATCACATGTAAACAGTGTGCAGCCAGTCCGTCCGTCCTCCCCTATGCACTTACCTCTCTCCTTTGGTTCCGTCCTCCGCCGCCGAGTCCCGAGTCTCTGACTGCAGTGAGCAGAGCTGCAGGGTTATAAGTAACCCTGCCGCTCCGTGTAGACTGTAGACAGTGAGAAGGGAGAGCTGTGCTCTTCCTCTGTCACCTGTCACAGGAGTTCCAGCACATTGCTGTGCTAGAACTCCTGTATTGGAGGTGACAGGGTCAATTAAGAGAACCTGTCACCTCCAATTGCTATCACGCAGGGGATTGTTTTTTCCTGTGTGATAGCAATAAAGTTAGGTGAAAAAAAATTACATTGATTAAAAAAAAAAAACATTTTTAAAAAATAATATGAAATAATTAAATAAAAAAATAAAACGGTGATTAAAAAGTAAAAAATAATAAGAAACAAATTATTAAAAAATAAGAAAATAATGATAAAAAATAAACAATAATAAGATAAAAAATTATTAAAAAGTAAATAAGATAAATACAAATCTAAACAAATTAAATAGATAAAAAAATTATTAAATAAATAAAAAAATTAAAAAAATAAGAAGAAATAATTAAAGACAATATAAAAAGTGATAAAAAAGTAAAATAAAGAAACAGTAAACAAAATTGACACCAACCCCGCTGCCCTGCCAACTGGTTGACATTCTTCATTGATGGGAAGGGGGGGGGGGGCGCAGAACCTGGCCTTTGGGCGGCAGGGAGAGTAAATCCGGCCCTGTTTAAATGGTAATGGATGAAAGCATACAATGTAGCATCAAGTTATTATCATTAAATTAAAAACTTATTTCCCTACAAAGCACAAGTTTGAGATTGTTTTAGGTTCTAAACTAGTCATATAAAGTATAATTCAAGCACCTCTTAATTATCTTGAGAACATGAGGATTCTCACAACCTAGACCACCTATACATGTCAGATTTCATTTTCAAAGTCAAAACTGCCTCCTTATCCCATTGCCTCCATTTAATGCACCTTACTTTTCAATACAGAGACAGCAGTTGCAAGCTGTGAAAGCCAGAAATTAATTTTAGTGATGGAAGTCAATATTTTCATAATGAAAGCCCCATATTTGGGAGTTCTGGAAGATAAAGAGGGGTACATTCAAGTACCTTTAGGTGCCTGCTTTAAATTAGACCTATGACCTCCCATTGAAAAATATGTGTTGCAGCACTTAATTATAACTGCATCTAAATGTAAAGTTTTCTTTAAGTCCCCCATCAAACTCCCAAAAATATCTGGTAAGTCTGCCAGTGAAAGCCACCTAATTTACCATCTTGTGGAAGTAAAGTAAAGCTGGCCATACACTAATATTTTGAACAAAGAAAATATTATAGGTTCCTCCATCCACAATTTTGAACGTTGATTGAGGATTTTAATGCTGTCTTCTTTGTATTCTGGCAGTGGCCACCACTGTAGCTTATTGGCTGCCCACTCTATTCATTAGAACATTTTCCAACTGGCTCCTTCGATCAACTGATCGAGGGATGCCAGCCGAAAGGGAACTGACAGCGACACCCACTGTGCAAATTTTGGACAGTTTATGGCCACCTTTAATCATCTACTTCTGTATTCAGAGCAGAGTAGCCACTCTTATGTAGGCTGTGTCTGCTTACACTACAGCAGTATGAAAATTGTTGCAGGGGGCATGGCTATCAGCATTGTCACTGCTGATTCACAAGCCTTTAGGTTATCAATCAGCAGCTGGCCACACCTAGCCCACCCACTACCTTCTGGATTGTTAGCATTGTCTTTGTTGCTGAAATCCTTCCACTGTGAGCTGCAGTGTCTGGGAAATGAGGCCTGTGAGACAAAGAAGAATTTGTATCAGTAAGGGAAGGTCAAGGTTTGTGCATCACATAGAAACTGGATATTGTACTTGTTTTAGACTGCCATACAGTAGCCTTTGGTTGTACTTTAAACTCCTTAGTTTGATTTCATAACTTTAAACAGGTTTCGTTTAAGTCTGGCAGTTTCTTATTTGCGTATCAGGTAGCACATACATTGAGATCTGTAAACACAGTTCCCAGTAATATATTGAAAGCTGCAACCATCAGATCCCAAATACACAGATATCAAAAATGCTAAACTATGAAGAATAAAGGCTGGTTATATTCAAACTGTTTGTAAATCTATGCCACACCTTTCACTGTAGAAAGTTGCAGTATAGAGCCTGTGATGTGACTCCACTGTAAACACATATAAATCCCAAATGCTTGCTGTAAATTTCTGGATATAATATCTTCACAAGCATGAAAAATAGGTACTCATTAATTACATAATTCTTCATATTTGCAACTGTTTATACAGTATTGAATATGACTGTGTTAGCCACAGCATCCTTTATGTTCCTCAAATTGCAAAATCACAGTACATGGTGCATATGCCAGAAAAAGTGATTCACAAGGGATCTGTTAAGTTTGCCACATAGGATGCACAAATCTTTGTAAACTTCATATAGTAGCCACAAGGTGATATCGTTGTTCATGTAATTATAACAAAAAATCCCAGCAAATAGCCAGATTACTTTTTTTCTTAAAACGTGCAGCACACATTAGAGCAAAATCCATCAGATTCCTCAAATAAAATATATGTGCCTTTGCAAACTGTCGTGTCGGTGCCCCAACAGGCCCCCACAGTTTATAAATAGAAGCAAAACAAAGCCCAGGCATTTAGTTTTTTATTTGCATACAAGACATATGCCTTCCAAATGTTCATTGTCAAAACATAATATAATTCTATATTTATATATTTAGAAGCATAGACAAATATTATTTTATATATGGCACTTGTTCTGAATTAAAATGATTGGCAAGAAAATTACTCTTTAATTTTAATTGATACAGCCTCTGCTTGTTTGAACAATATAAATGCATGTAAATGTCAATTTCAAAGGTCACACAAATAGCTTCAAATCATTTCTAGGAAGTTTTTGCTAATATGCCCAAATTCACTGTCTCCTCTATTTATTTTAAAAGTGAACTAGTGTTTACATTATTTTTCAAGCAAACATTAAGGCTGATCTAGCAATATTTTACATTTGCAAGGCTTCTACTAATATATGGATCATTAGAGTAAAGCCTGGTAGCTACTACATGACAAGCAATTTATTGCTTGTTATATGTGTCAAGGGATGCTGCCGGTAAAAAATGTGCTTCACCCTGCTATGGAGACTGAGGCCGACTTTTAACAGTTTTCCCCATGGGCTTAAACATAGAAAGGAAAATCTTTCAAAGGAGGATACAAGAGATAAGTATTGTAAATTAGAATCATTTATCTCACAGTGTGTAAAATAAATGTGAAATCACATATTAACCTAACCAATACTGAAGCATAGAGAGTCTCACCTAGAAATGATAGCTCTCTGGGCATGCTATCACATTTCAAATTAAATCACATTTTCTCATTTTCTGAATATGTGCAGCCTATTAAATGTATAAATATGAATATGAATTATGGTGGGGTGCCATATTTTTTTCTAGATCACCAGGACCTTGAATTAGTTATTTCAGTACAGTAATATAATTGTCCTAGTGCCCTTGCACCATTAGAATGGCCAGACTTTGTTTTTATGCCTGAGGTCTTTCCATGAAGCCTCAATGTCACCTTGGGCTCATGTAGTGTTGCTGCTTGATGGAGCACCCATTGGCAATATTGTTCATGCACGGGTGTCTCATTCTAAGGATTTTGACCTTAATCCTTAGAGACAGAGGAGTGGCAGAGAAGAGGAAGAGTAAAAGGCATAATTGAACCTCAGCTATTATAGAACACCGCAAATGTATATGTTTTTCTTCAATGATTCACTTGGAGTTAACTCAGCTTTCTGTCTTTTAATGCAGTGCTTGTTCTTCTTATTGTCACCATGAGAAGACGTAAAAAGGAACCATTGATATTTGATGAAGAAAGAGATGTACGAGAGAACATTGTAAGATACGATGATGAGGGAGGAGGTGAAGAAGATACTGAGGCATTTGACATGACTACTTTGAGGAATCTTAATATCATCCGAGACAACAAAAGCAGGAGGGATGTGACTCCAGAGATTCAATTCTTGAGCCGTCCATCCACTAGAAGTGCTCCAGACAACTTGATTTTTAGGGAGTTTATTTGGGAAAGACTAAAAGAAGCTGATGTGGATCCTTGTGCTCCTCCTTATGACTCCCTACAGACATATGCATTTGAAGGCAACGGATCAGTTGCAGAATCACTGAGCTCTTTGGAGTCAGTGAGCTCCAACTCTGAACATAATTATGACTACCTTAGTGAATGGGGTCCTCGTTTCAAAAGACTTGCTGACATGTATGGCACTGTTGAAGACAACCTTTATTCTTAGCATTTAAATAAATATGCCTAATGCACTGAAAAGACTTGGTAACATTATATAATTTCGATTTTGTGGAAGTTTTTATTTCTTCTGCCCAAGAGACTACACCGACCCAAAATCAAAAAGTACAAAAAAATGTACAGTAAAACAGTTTGTTGATTGACCAGTAACTGGATAATTATGCTATTTCTGCAGCAAATCTTATAAGGGACAATTCTGGTAGCTTTGAGTTTTGTATATTATATACTAATACAGTAAGGCGCAGTGTAATTACTATACCATACGCACAGATATAAGCTTCGTGCTCCCTGTTTGGCTCAGCCATGGTTCTTCAGACATTCCATGGAACTCACTTTTGTTTAGCCAGTCACCCACATTAGAATCACAAATAATATTTACAGGGAGCAGCACCAAGTAAAATTTGAGCATGGTCCCAAAAATACTACTATATCATTTCTGCAAACTGCAAATCTTTATCCAAAATTGCCTCTGTGACTATGTAAATAACCTGTTTGGTCATTATAAGGGTAAATAATCTTTATCAGCTATCTCATATGGTGAAATACAGTGGAAATCATTAAACAGCTGTAGGTACTACAACATCTCAGCATATGTGGAGCACAGCAATAATTAAAAAAAACGATATTTGTTTAGCCTGTGTGATACCTTACCCTTATTCCACTAATGCTCCTCTCCATTATAGAATCAGTAACCCAAGGCTGTTACATTAGTTCTAGATAGCAGCAAACACATTAAATCAGTCTCTTATACATTGTAGGGATTCAAGCTGCAATGACATTATAAGGTGGCTCTCATGCTCCCTGCTGGATTATTTATTGTGTTAAAGGAGAACTATGGGGTTAAGTCTTTTCCCCATAGTTCTCCTTAGGGTAATGGGAGGACACAAACTAGCGTCCTCCCGTCACCCTAGGCTCAGTATATTGCGAGCTGTAGCTCGCGGTATACTGAGACGCCGCAGCTGAAGCGGATCCCGACAATTGTGCCGGGATCCGCCCAGCTGCGTGACTGACAGCTGGCTCTGCCTATCTAAAGGCAGAGCCAGCTGTACCCGCCCCCTCCCCCGTCCGTTCCACCAGTCAGCGCTGGTGGATTGGAGTGGGGAGGGGGGAATCCAGCCCCTCCCCGGTCACGGCAGAGAACCGTGACAGGATCGAGAGGTAAGCGAACGCCGGTATCTGTTCGCTCACCTCCCGATCTACTGAGCCGACCTGTGACAGTCTCATTGTCACAGGTCGGCTAGAACTATGAGGTGAGTGCAAATCACTCACCTCATAGTTCTCCTTTAAAGTACTAGTACAGCATGAACGTTAAAGAATTAGGAAGATTGGCAAAAAGATGTTACATGTGATTGAGCTGCTAAGCCTACTGGACCCCAGTAAGCTTAACAACAGTGTATTTATGCATTTCTATGTATCAGCTATACAAATGGAACCCCAAAGTACAAAAAGAAGCAATGGGCATATGTAATATATACCTTTACAATATCATGTTAGTTCAAATATAAAATCAATATTTATATGTACATTTCTGGCCATTTGAACATACCATCTAACATTACCCTACACAATTCAAAATATAGAACACTACATTTTGAACTGAATTAGTAGATTTTTCACTAACTGAGGCATTGAATGAGTCACCAGTGATGTTGCAGCACTAAGTTCTGCTTATGGGTGCATTAAAATTGGTGGTTAGAAAACAATGTTCCAGACTAAGCACTCTAATTAAGGATCCATTTAAGTGCAACATTCACTTAGTCTGTATTTCACAAGGTTAGACTAAAATGTTGAGCTGCAGTAAGATAGAGCAACATCTTTAAGGGTCTTGCAATACATAAGCTTTAATCCCTTAAATAAAATCATATTTTTAAACAACCCACAATAAGGTATTTGTAATAGAATGCTATAAAGTGTGCATTTTCTAGTTTATTTAATACAAGCAGTATGCTTAGTGCTGTAGCCTATTGCAACCAATAAGCATTCATCATTCACTGATGTGATTACTGTAAACTGAAATTTGATTATTGCAAGTTACTGCACTTTGCATGCCATTGTTTTAATAGCCTCGTATTAAATACACTTAATTATATCTTTTAGGTTTTACAGAGTTAATATTAATTTCCCATTTGCTCTGAATGTTACATTGCTTGGATATGTAATTGATAGCATTTACAGATTTATTGTCATAATTCATTTGATTTTCACATTGTAAAACATAAAAAATCTGTAAGCATATCCACATTCCATTTTGGAGCAGGGATATGTTAGAGACCTCTGTACATCTATCAATTACATCAGTTTTCTTGCTTGTTAACTAGTGGTTGCTGTTATTCCTTTTCTTGGTTTTCTCGAGTAGGCTTCTGCTAAGAATATTATATCTAAATATACTAGTAGCTATGTATATAATTTAATTATTTATGGTAAATGTGGGTAATTAGTATGTAATCAGTTACTGGCAATGCCATTATTTAAATATCCAGAAGTCACTTATAAGTCTGTAATATGTCACAAAAAGCAAAAGAGTCACTACAAGTGTAGGCCTATGGAGTGGGTTTTAAGTCATCTGAAAGAGTTAGGGTGTTAATTGCACCCACTTTGGTGCCCTATGGCAAACACCTTTAGTCTCCACATGTGTATAACCATTGAACTTCCAGGAGTAAATCCTGCTTCACAAGTGTCCACCATCAAGGTTATTCATTAAGAAAAATAGCTAAGTGAAAACCAACCATCTTCAAGTCATCTGACTTAATTTATAGGCTATTGTACTTTGCAGTGCAGGTTTGCTTTTTGAACTGCCTTGTTGAAAATCACTTACAGGAGGTTCACAGAGCAAACTTTTGTAAATCAGGGTTGAAACCCAGTAGTAAGTATAAATAAAGGGAGACTACAAAGGTTTGGGGCTCATTTTATTTAATATTTTTGCATATATATGTTTGTAAACTGTTTTATTTTCTGCTATTTCTCTATAATATTTATTTTAAATAAACATTTAATGCAGGGTGCACCTTTGACACTAATCTCACAGATAATTATGGGATTTCTACAGAAAGATTGTAAAAGACGCTGTTGTCTTCAGTCCGTCTCTTTGACTTAAGTGTTGAGAGAGAACACAGCAGGCAGGGAAGGAGATAGAGGGGTAACCAGTCCTCTTTCTATTCAGATCTATATGTAAATTTGAGCTTAAGCTATTGCGCTCTGGAATCAGCTCTTTTTTTAACAGAACAACTAAAGAAAAATAGGAAAACATGTGAAAATAAGACTGGAAATGTAAAAACGAACTTTAGATGTCTGGACCCCACCTCCCATATGCTTCCCTGACACTTTAAAAACAAATTGCATTATACATACATTTTGCCTGCAGTTTTCAGGCCAGTCCAGTGATAATGGGTTCTTTCTCCTCTTGCTTAGCAGCAGAGAGTACTCTAAAATAACTGAGCAGAACTTGAGTAATGACGTCTAAGTGCTGCTCAGTCCAAGAGTACTGTTAGCCCAAGCAATGCGATTATATGCTCCCAGAGGATGTGTCAATGACAGCCTGGGCTCACAGGAAGTGGGTTATTTATGTTCTTCCTAGAAGACTAGCCACACAACTTGTGGCAGAAAGGAATTACCATGGAGGCAGCTAGAGTTTAAAGGTTGGTATTGCCGTTAAAGCTGTTTTTTCGATATCCTGGAGTCCAACTTCAAATATACATTTTCTAAATATCATTATTCAATATCCTACAATTTACAGATACCAATTTTGTGAGTGTTTTTTCCTAATCTATATATGTACAAAACAAGTGCAGTACAGCAGAAGCAGAATTTTAAAAGCTTAGCAGAGCTGACCTTCATTGGCAGAGGTGTAGACAGTCAAATGAGGTAAGGCTTTGTTTGTAAATGAGCACAGAGCTACAACAAATAACATTTACACTCTGTATATTCTACTTTAATAAAATAGATGTCTTACAGGGTTATTCACAAAAGAAGATTTCGGAGAAGGCATGAAAAATCTAGGCCAAAATATCTGTTTTGGAAAAATTATCCAATTAAGCTCACTTTCCAGTTCAGCTATGTTGTCATAGATTGTTCACTTCTCCTGCCTTCTCCAAACTCTTCACCCTTTTGTGAATACCCTCTCAATGTCTCATAAGTGGCTTAAAATAAACATTTGGACTGGGCTTAGAGGTGGTTCGGCTCCATGAGTACCAATTAAAGTAATCAAACAAAGGGGTTGATTTACCAAAGGCAAATAGGCTGTTCACTTGGCAAGGGAATATCAGTTTGCATACTCAGTGAATGTACTGAAAATTCACTTTGCAGGGAAAATTTTACAAAAAACAGTAATTTTGTGTGTACATGCAGAAGTCAGGAGGGCATCACCTTATGCACTACGCTAAGGGAAACTTTCCTTGCAAAGTGAACAGCCTATTTTCCTATAGTAACTGAGCCCAAATATGTTAAAAAGGTGATAATATGCTGTACATATTGATGAATGGTGTGCAATAGGGAGAACACGGAATATACTATAAGCAAATTGGAAAACCTTGTGATTTCAAAACATACACACATACATGCACACACATTAAAAGAACTTGCTTCATTATCTGCTATTAAAATGGAGCAAAATAAATAATCTAAAACAGTCATTAAAGATAGGAAGGAAGAGTTTAATGCAAGGATGTTTTGTGTATAAAGAATGTACAATTTTTCCTTTTCTATTTACATTTATTGTTATAGAGTACAAGTGACTTCTGGGAACTGGCAATGTAATTTAAGTAATTGAAGAATATTTACCAATCCCAGTAACATAACCCATATTCCATTAAAACAAATAAATAGATATGAAACCTCAAAAGAGAAATAAACATTGAGGAGAATTTATCAAAACTGGAGCAGACAAAATCTGGAGCAGCTGTGCGCGGCAAACAATACGCTCTCTTTAATTTTCAAATTTTAACTGAACAAACAAAGAGAAAAGCTGATTGGTTGCCGTGGGCAACTGCTCCA